ATAATAGATGAACATTTATATAACATAAATTTCAAGTTAGTTCTTGAGTAATAGTGTCTGGAGTTGGAGACATTCCAGTGACAACTTTCTGAAGTCTTTTGCATAACTGGAAGTGTACCATTACTCTCATCATATTAAAATAACATATGTAAAAGTATCTAACAGTACAAAAGCTCAATAAAAGTTATTTTCTTTGACCACCAAGTAACTTCCAAATAGCCAAAATTAAACTCTGGTAAAAGGGACTTATTTTAACTCAGAGGTTGAAAGACTTTAGTACACAATATGAGAATATAAACCAAGGCTTCATTCCTAGTTACAATATTTTTGTGTGAATTATGGTAGAAAATATTTTATAAATTAAAAATATTCTCAACTACCTGACATCATTAACCACCATCACTAATTAGTAAATTGGTATAAAGAATGTTTTTAGTACTTACTTCTACCCTGTTTGTTAAAGCTTCAGAAGTGGTAGAACAGAAAGCAAGCTGTGTACAATGTGGCTTTGGTGGAAGAGAAAATAGAAGTAGGTGCTTCTTTCCTCTTCCTTTAGATTTGCTAATACTTCTCTTTCATAAAGGAGTCTAGCATTACTCCAGAGAATTTCAGCCTGGATCCCATCCATGGTTCAATATCATCAGATTAGCGGACATTTTGCTGATCTCAAGAGTAGTTGTGAAATTCAAGCGATCTGATATAAAAATATTTCATGAATACTGAGGACATAATTTTTTACATACTATTATCTTTTACCATGAGCTTATATACCTATTTCTAGGAAGAAAGACCCATGCACGCATGGTTTTTGTTTTCTATTATAAATCAGAATGCCAACAAAACTCCTATTTAGGAAGAACAACAGTCTGAAATGTAAGAAGCTACAAGACTCTCATAATACTTTTAAGCAATCAGTTCAGTTCAGTTGCATAAGGGAGTTTTAAAATATGGTATTTATCACTAATATTTGTGGTATTTTCCCCAGTTGTGGCCCAAATGCAAACTGATAAGCAGAAGTGTAAGCAAATACATATTTTGAAACAATTTTAATGCAATAAACAAATATTAAGCGATCAGCCAAAGAAACACAATTTTTACATGCCAAAGAAATGATTTTGTAACTTAGCTTTGTAATTTACCTTTTTTTTTAACCTCAACTTGGAAGTATTTCTGTGGAGGGTTCCACTAATCAGAAAACTTAGTTTGGGTTGCTATTTTCTATACTAGACAAACTCCTATTTACTCTTCCTGAATCTATTCCTTTATAAAAGTCCTAAATGAGTCTGGTTAGTTATCTTTCTCCTTCACTCACATTGTTTTAAGTATGTTTCCTTATGATCTGAAAGGATACCTGAACCTCAATATTCATTTGCAACACTGTTTACAAAGTCAAGACATGGAAGCAACCCAAATGGTCATTGACAGAGGAATGGATGAAGAAGCCATGATATATATATTCAATGAAATATTACTCATTAATAATGAGTAAAAAGAATGAAATAATGCCATTTGCAATAACATGGATGGACCTAGAGAGTGTCATAGTGAAGTTAAGCCAAACAAAGGAGGAGGAGTACCATATGACCTTCTATGTGGAACCTAAAAAGAAATGATGCGAACAAACTTACAAAACAGAGAGACAGAGCATGAACTTATGGCTGCTGGGCGGAAGGGACAGTTAGGGAGTTTGGGATGGACATGTATATACTGTTATATTTTAAATGGATAACCAACAAGAACCTACTGTATAGCACATGGGATGCTGCTCAATGCTGTGTGACAGCCTGGATGGGAGGGGAGTTTGAGGGAGAATGGGTACATGTATATGAATGGCTCAGTCTCGGTTCACCTGAAACTATCACAACATTGTTAATCAGCTATGCCACCAATACAAACTAAAAAGCTTAAAAAAAGTAAAGTATATTCCCTTTTAACAATGAACATTAATATCAAGGTGGAGTCTTTGAGAACAGTTCTTATAAATCTGTTAACAACTGTAGTCCTTCGGTAGCTGGTGAGACTAATTTGCTTCTGACAACTAACATTAAGGAAAAAAAAAAAAAAGACAACTATATCAACATCTCAGGAAAAGGCTTGCTGGCCTATCTTCCACAATTCTTTGTTTTTTTAACCAACACAGTAGAAGGTAGAATGCTAGCCCCACAAATTTTTTACAAAGTCAGAAACTTAAGAAACACTGCCTTAAAACATCTCAAAATCAGCTAAGCACTCTTAATTAAAGGTAGAGAACAGAGAAATGGTTAAGAATGAGGACAGCAGAGTCTGTCACTTTTTTAGGTCTATGAATATCTACACACCACGTTCAAAGCCTCATTTTCTCAGCCATAGTATTTGTTTTACGGGCCTGTTATGAAAATTATCTGAAATAATTCACTTAAAAACTGAAGATTCTAAGTGCTCAACAATGTTTATCATAACCTTTAGCTTCAAAGTTACAAATAATCTGTGTAACACCACTACACTACAGTACTGATGTATTGACTCCCGGTATTATCAATGTAAAGCACTAAAAGGAAAGGTCTCTAAACCTAATAGCAAAAGTCGTCTTAACATTCCTACAGGGTATATTTTATTTTAGATCTACAAGATAACCTTAACGTGAACTACTCAAAAGCTGAGTTTACAAAGGAAATTACATCTCCTGTTGTTGCATATCTCAAAACTAGCAACAAATTAACAGTTACTAAGATACATAACTGTTACTTTTTAAAAGTCACTGTCTGTTAAAGAAACAGACTGTGCATGCATGAGTGTATATGAGAATGTTTTCAAATGCTGTATGAAGAAACTTCATATGCTCCAGAGGAAGTCAGACTCTAACAATCACAATATTTAAAATGTTCATAAGAGGCTTTACTAACATTAGAACTAAGCAGGGATCAGAAAATGTATCTACAGGGAGTTATAATCTGTAAAACAGCAGGTGCTCAAAACAAGGAAGGTAAGTAAGGCTAAGCAAAAACCTAGGGATCTAGACACCTTAGATAATACAGTAGGAAACTATTATTTTTAAAATATCACCACTTTTTATATGTGCAAAAGCTTATAGTATATAATGTGCTTTCCATATATAATCATATTGGGCCATCAGAAATGCTGTTAATTATATAACAAAATGTTTTGGTTTTTTGCAGATTACAAATGCAAGGCTCTGAAAATTAATATGATTTGTCAAAAACCACAGTTAGGAAGTGACAAATCAAGAATTTAAACCCCGGTCCTCTCACTTATATTTCCCTGTTCTTTCCACTATTCTATAAATCTACTTCTTAAAAGAAAGAAGCAAATTAGCACCTTCACAAGAAGAAATCTCTAGGCCAAACCACAGGCTTTTAATCAGCTGTGCTGAGTTGGGGAAGTCATTTCCCCTCATCAGGCCTTTATTTTTTCATCTGTAAAATGAAGGAAACAGATTAGAAAATTTGAAGTCCCTTCCAGTTCGAAGGATAAATCTCTAGACGGTACCCTTTAAGAAAGAGTACCAGCATTTTACAAATACATGTTGATGTCAGCTTTAGCAAGAGTTCCAAGTCAGAAAGTGGTGTCATTAGCTATTAAGCAACGTATGGCAATTACTGGATAAATTCTTCACACCCATGTGACAGATGCTGCTTCAGTAGCATCAAGTTTATATACAGAAAGCTGTCTAAACCTTTTCCAGACTACAATGGAAATTATTAAATATCACTAATCATTCTCTCTTTAGACTGAAGCAATGCTCTTAAAATATAAGAATGGTTTAAAGAAAATCTAACCACTAGTCAACCAGTACCAAGAAACGGAAAAATTTTAGTATTATTTTTATTCTTTAGAATAAAAACCTCTTTTCCAATTAAGAGTTTTCCAAATATCCCTATTGTTTCTTTGATACCTCAAAGAGTATCAGATACATGTTTCAGCAACTTCTATGGGGAAAAAAAAAGTAACATACAAGCATTTTGATAAAAACATCTTCCATTTAAATTCATTCCACCAGTTAGGTACTTATTGCCAAAGAAAATTAAAGCTTTTCTCCCCTTCACGGTATAAGAGAACTAAAATCAAAGACTGCACAATATACTTTCACCTATTATGTTCCTTCCTCATCTGAATATTTGTTTCTTACTCTTCCTCAGTCTTCATGGAATACACACCCAGGGACTTCCACTTTCCCAGCTCTGCCTGTTCATAAAACCATCTTAACAACAACTATAGAAACCAGAGCGCTTAAGACCATTATAGGCCTCTTTCTCTTTTCCTTTCATGAATACTACTTAGGATTTCCTTCATTTTACACCTCGCCTGTCCTTAAAATAGAACACATATCCTGAATAGTTAATCTTGACCATACTTACTCAACTATTCGCAGACCTTTAGAAATTGTTAGTGCTTGTGTCAACTATAAAAGATTTTTTAGTAAACCTTCCCCCTCTTGCCTAGGAAACATTTCAAATGTTTACATGTTTTTGCGTTTAGCCCAAATTAAAGACTTTTCCCAACAAGCTTAGTTAATATAACGACTTGATCTTACACAGTCGACACTATCTCATTTTGTTTTTTAAGCCTCTTGGCACCAATATAGCATATGTTCTGCCAGTTCTGAGCTAATCTCCAGGAAAGTCTTTGTATAACGATTGAAGAAACTGAAACAGATCAGTGCCCAAGATTTTTAAGAGCCTACACGAACATATGTTTTTAATCAACAGTCAATTTATTTTAAAATAGCTATTTCACCAGTTCACCTTCTCCCATAATTCACATAAGCCGTTTTAAAAGAAAAAAGGACACACGACTGGGAACACAGGCTCAAATCAACTTCAGGATCAGAGGTTTTTCCGAAGCGTTAGGGATGCCGGGGTCTGAATCCCGTCACCGCGTCCACGGGGTGGCCGCGGGCGTCCAGTGGACATCACACTCTCGACCACTACGCCGCTTGAAGCATTCCCTACGGCTTCAACGGGTTCAAAAGTGTCAACTTCCCGTCCCAAACTGTTTCTTACAGTTATTATTAAAACAGCTGTCAGCTGGGCTCCAGTGACCTCTTTGTACAACCGTTTATTCAACGCTTTGGGATCCTCGAGGATGCGTCACGGCGGGTTACCCTCGAACGAGCTCCGAGAGCCCAGCGGCCCGCGGGTCCGCGAGCGCCGGCCGGGCTCACCCGCGCCGCCCTCCCGGCCTCACTCGGTCCCCGCGGCTCAGACTAGGCGCGCCCCCAATCCGCCCCGCCCCGCCCCGCCCCGCTCCGGCGGCGCCCCCGGCCGCGCACACCCGCTCCCCGCCCGCTCGCTCGCACACGCGCCACGGCCCCGCCATGTTCCGGGAGCGGCACGGCCGTCCGCCTGGCCCCCGCCCCCCGGTCCCCGCCCGGCCGCTCCCGCCGCGCCCCTGCCCCGGCGCTCCTAGCGGACGGCCCGTCCTGTCAGCGCGGCGGGGCGGGGCGCGTCCTTACCTTGCTCTGGGGAGGGGACGGGAGCGGGCGCGACTGAGGGGCTCCTCCCGGGCGCCGGGGCCGGGGCTCGAAACCGCGCCCCTCCTTCCTCCTCNCGCGCGGTGGGCCCGAGGCGTCCGGAGAGGCGGGCACCCGCTTCCGCGCACTGCGCCTGCGCGCCGGCCGGCCGCACCTGCGGGAGCCCGGGGACCCGCAGGGCCGCGACGCGCCCTCACCTGCGCCAGGTGGGTCCGGGCCCGTCCCGAAAGCACGTCCACGTGCACCTACCCCCGGGTCCGCACGCACTCTGCAGTACGCCCTCCCCCAGTCACACCTTCGGATAACCTTTTAAGACAAATTTTGGTGCATTTTCCCCCAACCGCTCGGGGCACTGCCAGCTGGAGGACTGCGCAGAGGAAAAGTCACCGCCTCGGCAGCCCCGCTGCTGGCAGTCTGACTTCCTCTGGAGGTTAATCCGCGACAGTCTGTACTTGCCCTTATTTAACCACCGAAGGGATTACATAATCGGAAGGAAACCATTTTATTCTGAGTTGCTTCTGGTGGCTTTTTATTTACAAAGAGGTTAATCCGCGACAATTTGTGCATGCCTTTATCTAACCCTCAGAGAGCCCTCATCGTTGTGGCCTCTAAACTAACAGCACGGGTTTGTGACTTAGTGAAGTTAAGAGTTTGTCATTAATCAGCAGATGAGATATTTCAGACTTGACAGAGAAAGCTACATCCCAACATTTAACTGTATAAAGCATAAACTTGCATTAAAGATCACTATTTTTTCCTTCCCTACATTTCTCCCATCTTTAAATACATCAGGTTCAATATGAATAGTAAGAGTGCACCTTGTGGCTAGAAGTGGAACACTGTTACATTTCATCTGGATATTTAAGGCATGAAGTAACAAATCCACTAAAAATTTATAACTAACTTGTCTGACTTCTCAAGTGGTTGAGTTGGTTCTCATTTAACTCGCTGTAATGACAATAACAATAGCTATTTCTACAGCAGTACAAGCCTCAGTTAAAAATTGAAAGCAAATCTTGAATTTGCTGAAATCAGTTAACCATAATTTATGGCAATAACTATATGCACAGCCTTGTTACTTAAAAATCAGATTACATGGGTAATTGTAATCCAAGGCATTGTACTGATTACTACTGAACAGGACACTATCTGTACAAAGTTCATTGTAGAATTATTCAAGTTGCAAAAAAATTTTAATTTAAACTTAAGATTATATGTGACACATTGTAAATCAGCCACAATTTGTTATTGGAAAGATTCAAATGAAACTTATGAAGGGAAGAGGAGCTAATTTTCCTATTTAATGTTTAACTAGAAGTACAAATCAAGAAGGTAATTCTTATTAGGATAGAGGCCTGAAAAGAAGCTGGAGCTAGTTGACTATGTTGCTAAGGCTCTTCATTGTAGAACCCTGTCTTTCATTAGCTCAAATCTCTTCAGCAAGTGGGCAAAATGTTTTTTTAATAGCACCAGGAGGTCAAGGATCCCAAGCAGTAAAACATCATTCTTAGCCAAGGTTAAGTTTTATCACACTTATTTAGGATTATTACTAGCAGACACTTAAAATGTATGTGGTATGTGAGATAAAAGCCACCTGCAAAATTTACCTTCTTTCCAACTTAACTTCTTACCGTTAAGAATCAACTACTGTTATGTTTCCTACATGAAGTCCAGGTAGATCATTCAAAAAATCCTGCCATATTTTGGGAAGGTGAATTAATAAAAATACAATCTCAGTTATGGCTTACCATACTGACAGTCTACACAGATGTAACGCTTGGGCAGTGAATACCCATGATTGTCACTTGCTGTAGGATTTACTAGGGCAATAGCTCCATCCAGTTACAGCAAGTACTTCTGAGGAACTGGTAGCCTTCCCTAGCAACATTCAGTAGCCACTCCAAAAACCACCAAAAAAGCCAGGCATGAGTTTTTGCCCAATAGGAGGAATGACAATTTGAATTATTTGTTGGTTTATTTTTGTAATATGAACATTTCCTCCCTAAATATCTCTTTTTGAAAAAAACAGCATAGAGCTAGGAACTGAGAAGAGGAAATGAGGGAGCAAATGGTGTTAAGACACATCAACAACGCCAGCTTCTCTTTATTGGTTTGAGAAGCAGGCTAGGCTATAGCTGTCATCTCTAGCAACTGAAAACTGGCAAGGAGTTTTGAATCAGTGTGTTCATATATTTTTGGAACCATGTTGGATTACTATAATGAAATTTTACCTGCCAGATGTTTTTAAAAGCCTATCTGTAATTATTAAAAACCAGTGCTCTTGTGTAAAAAATTGGTACAATTTTCAAGAAAAATGGGCAAAAAAATTACACAAGATTCAATGCAAAATCCTAATACATACTACTGTAGTGCACTGTACGTGATGATCTAAAAGTATGTTTTGATAGTGGTATAAAATTATGCCTATAAAGACTTAAAACAAATTTTCTGCTTCTAAAATAGAACATCATAACCAATATCCTTAATACATAACTTTTTTTTTCAGCCAGTATTTGAAACTTTCCCATTCCTAACTTTCATCTACTTGGGGAAAAAAAAGTCAAGAATGTAAGACATTTTTTACAATAGTAACTTTAAAGGAATTTAAAGTTATTTAAATTTTTCATAATTTTTAATTTTTTCATGTGTATTTTGTCATAATTTCAAATAAAAGCTTAACAGCTAACAAAGAGAAGATAGACTATTTTTTTTTTTAAAAGAGATAAAAATAATAATAAAGCATTCCATTGCCTGTGGGAAGATGGTCTGAGGGCTCCAGGGCAGAAGTGAGCATTTTCACTGTGTTATTTTTTTGTGCCTCTTGAAAAATTACTTATGCTGTTACCTTCTTAGGTGAAAAATGAAAACTAATTCTTAAAGACAGTCTTAAAAAATAAAATGTATGTTCATGTTTTTAAGCATCATATACTAGTCTGTCATAAGATTAAGGCCAACCAGTGACTTTGAGAAATCCTGAAACAGTTGAATTATTTAGATTTACCCCTGAATTAAAGCTGGCTATTAATTTTTTATGCCAGCTTGCAAAACTCATAGCTAGTTTCCTAAACTGGGTGTTATACACAAAGGGTTTTATTCTTCTAAGTTGTAGTATGCATTCAGTTTCTAAGCTTGTAATATGCATTCAACGGAGGAGCATATTTCCCATTCCCACTGAACTTTCAAACTCAAGTTATACTTCCAGTTTCTTCCCCTAGTTAGTTTTTGTGTACCTGCAGTGTCAGAAGAGTGAAGGATAATGTCAAAGTGTTTTGCACCTTCCTTCTTTAAAAATGATAAACAGTACATCTAAAGACAACTACCTTATCCTTGTTACACCTATAGTCTGCTTGACATAGCACTTACCAGTTGAAATTACAGTAACAACTGTGTGCCACAATACTAACAAGGTTTATAGAGAGATCATATTAAGATTTGGCTATGGCTAAAGATGGGAGAGCAAAATATACTTGAAATTTGACAGAATTTTTATTTCACAGTACCCTAATATTGATAAGTGAACAGGCAGTTAAAAATGATGCTCTGAAGTTCTGACATGATACTTAACAGCTGTAAGTTGCTAGGTTACAAACAAGGTGTACACGGATGGAAATGAACAAGTAATATAAAAAGTTTAGGTAGATAAGAGATTCATATTTTATTTCCCCACTGACATATTTACAGCTGGATATAAATTAAAGACCTGCTTGCACACCAAACCCAGGTCCTTTCGGTGGTTCAGTCAAAGAGGTAAGACCTCCAGCTGGCTCACAGGAGAAGCGTCCACTCCTGAAAGAAAAGTAACATTAAGCTGACTGCTAATGATTACCATTTATAATTGTTACCTTACAACAGCCCAGATAAGAAACTATTTCTCTCCCAAGAACTAGCACGGACTATTTAATACAAACATCATAACTGCTGCAAGATTTTCACTTCCTAAATATGAAAACTGATATATAAAAATATGAAATATGAAAAATAAAAAAATAATACTAATACTAGTTCTCACTCAGCAGTGAACATATATCAGTGGCTCATTAAATCTTTACAACAATGCCAAGAGACAAGGGACACTGGCCAGTGTTTTACAGACACAGAAACCAAGGCTGGGGTGAGTCAGCGTCTACGCAGAGATGAGCACTAAGAACTCAACCCCAGAGGACATTTTTAAAAATCATGTTTTAATAAACTAGAGCACTACATTTATTTATATTTGAATTTTATTTTGACTGAGATCCATTGTCATAGGGAATATATACTTAATACACTATATCTGGAAACAAACAGAAACTAAATTCTTTGAGAGATTTGAGGGCTTGGGAGGAGGTCCCTTAGAGGCAGTGAAGATGAAATTAATTTGTATTGATGTTTTTAGAGGCTAAATTATTAGTATTTTTCAACAGCAGGCTCCAGATCAGCAGGTGCCACAAAGAAAACATGAACAGGTCCTCCTACAGCTCTATGAAGAGAGGCAGCAAGAGGTAGACGAACCTGTCCTCTTTTCACCCCCACACATACTTTCCCAAGTGATCTTTCAGGCTCAACCTCTGTCCTGTCTGACCTCTGCTGCTAGAGCCTGGCTCAGCACCTACTCCTGTTTCCCCCTCCTATTCCC